CTCAAGCCGAAGGGCATTTGAGAGCGCTTGTTGTTTCCGGCCTCTGGAACAACCAATCACCGGCCGACTCACACAGGACCTCACGTGACGACTGCCGAGCAGACAGGACTTCAGACGTCGTACGCTGGTTTGCGGTTGTGTGGTCGTCTGACGGTCAATTTCCTCTTGCATATTCTCCACTTTTTTATGTACAGCATAAACTTCCTACAACTCTGGCTTCCCATGAATTCGCTTCTAAAGAACCGGGCCTGAAGATCACAGTTGTCAGGGTTTAACTTAATTAACCTCCCGCGATAAAATCAGTCAGTTTCCTGCTGTGCTACACGTGGCGCCATCGAGTAAACTTTAAAGCAATCAAATGCCTCATTCCTATGCGTCAGAGTGCCAACGTTCTTATTAGCGTGGACAATAGCGACGATGAAGGACGATCCCGAGGACGCGCCGCGAAGTGTTGACGGGTCGGTGTGTGCAGGTCAGTCTTGTTAACCCACCAGTCCTCAAATGTACCAGCAGCGATCGCCATTCAAACGTTGGAGAGGAGTGCACAAAGACGCTTTACTCCATAACCAAAGGCGTGTAGTCGTCGGCTTGTAAATCAAGCAAGAGCCAGGTGTTAAAACAACCGCATCTGCGCGGTCACTCAGTGTCTTAGTAGATCAGAGCCGCTTCCAGAACTATCCCGGAACGAAGGCGGACTTCCAATTAATGTATACAACTGCTACTTTGCAGTAGTCATACAGCTTAATTAAGGACATATTTAAATAGCAAACTGAATCCATGAGCGGATAGCGGAAATCGTGCCATAACTTTCAATCAATGATCAGCTGTAATGCAATGACTATCAAAGCCTCAGGAACAATAGATATCGTCTACGAAATTCCTGCAACTACTCTGTAGTTTTAGCATCTCTCTGAAGGCCAGGAGAAAGAAGTGGTGACGGAGTTCCCTGCGGTAGCGAGGCCCGTGTTGATCAAGTTCTTCCTCCGTGCAAGATTCTGAAAGAACATTTATTGGAGGGTATTTCGGTTTTCTCGTACTAGACAGACTCATGGTCTTTACCTGTATGTATACTACCTGTCGAAGCATAGTAAAGCGTCTCTGTGTCAATGCCAATTGTTGTGGTCTGCAGCCCTGGCAAGTAACGAAACACGCTTTCGGCAGTCGTCTTCTTCTGACTGTTTAACTCCCCATTTCGCTTGGAAATAGTCAAAACTTAATAAAATTTCACAGTGCAGGAGGCATCATCCTGTGTGGTCTATGCCTCGTGTCCATGGGATTGGCCTCTGAACTCAACCTCGAACGTAACTCAGGCTATACTTATTAGGGCGGCCTAACAAAAGCCTTCGCAAGCAGTAGTTTGCAAACCATAGCCGCGTCCACGATAGGCTATCGATCGGCCTATGCGCGAGCTAACACTTCGAGCTAGACAATCAATCGATAATTTGAATTTCTAGCCACATTCACTCACTGAGCCAAGCAGCCAATAGGACTGGCCACTACCTCAGGAGAGAATCTTATTGGCTCATGGGACATCGTTGACATAA